TCGCTGACCCTTTACTAGCAGTGAGGCACTGAGAAAGAATGGTATATGACTGTAGTCAGGACATTTTTGTTATACATAAAGAGGAATGGGCCATTTAAAGAACAAACTAGTTTGATTCTTCTCCTCCAAATCAAGGACCCCCTTCCAGACAGCCTGCCTGTGCCTTCTTGCCATATCCATTTTAAAGTGGTTCTTTAGGGATGCCTGGGTGGTTCAGCCGGTTAAGTGTCTGTGTTCAGCTCAGGTCATGATCTCAGGGTCCTGGGATTGTGTCCCACATCAGGCCCCTTGCTCAGTGGGCAGTCTTCCTCTGCCTATCATTCCCCCTGCTTGTGCGCTCTCTCTCTCTCTCTCTCTCTCTCTCTCTCTCTCTCGTCCTCTGACAAATAAATAAAATCGTTAAAAAATAAAATAAAATAAAATGACTCTTTATCCCTGGCAGCTAAAAGGAATCTCTACCTCAGTAAGATGACTCCATCATCCCTTTCCATCCCTGTCCACAGAAGTTGAGCCATTCTGGAGAGGGGTGTGTGTGTGTGTGGGTACATGTGTTTTCTCCCAAACAAGGACACTCATCTGATTTCCAAATGATTGAAGAATTTTTAAGTAATAGCTTGGTGTTTTAAGTAATAGCTTATTCTGGTTGAGAACTGCCACTTACATAAATCACCAGGTTGCAAACAAATAGGGCAAAAGACTCTCAAGGTAGAGACTTCTTTTGCATAAAGAAAATGCATACCCAAGCATTTAAAAACAAAATAATACACCTTTTATTCACACAGTTGATTTTTGTTTATGCGTTATCGTGACTAATAGTAATGGCTGCAATTCATCACATTAGAAAAGCGATCAACAGTTCTAGCAGCAAGCACAGAATTAAAATTGATTGAGGCCCTTTGTCACCCTGGCAGAAGCTAATAATTACATCATTATTAAAATGTAGCCAATAGCCAAAACTTTTTAACTTCTTTTGGTTTAAGACAAAATAGAACAAAATCAAGTTAATGTATTCAATTTGAATAATTCTGTGGAGAAGGCTACTCCCATGTTTATCTACCATTGGCAGAACATCCACTCTGGACTAAGGACTGTCCTAGGTGCTTTGAATATTGGATTCATTTTATCCTTCCCACATCTTTGAAGGCATGTTAGTGCCAACCTCATATGATAGATGAGGAACTGTGGGGATGAAGTAACCAGCCCAGCAGCACAGAGCCAGGACCAAGACTCAAATCCAGGTCTGTCTCATTCTAAAGTTTCCATTCTAGTCAACTACACTGAGCAACTGCACTGTAGAACCTTGTAGATAAATACAGGAAACACAGTTCACAGATACGCGTTCAAACACTTGGAGGACAAAACAGTCATCTTAGAAACCATTTCTTAACATTTATGATCAAAAGTTTTCTGAAGGTTAAACAAAACTGGTGTGTGTCCAGAGTCTGAAAGGATGTTCCCTTTGGAGCCATAGTCCTTCCATCCCTTCCTGACCCACAGAATGTTATCAACAGGCTGGGACAGAGAGGAATAACAGAAATGAAGAGTCATTAACCACACTAAGTGTCCTTAAGACCAGCTCTGGTGTCATTTATCTCCGCCTTCCAAGAATACTGGGATGGCCTAGCATGGACAAGTGACAAATACAGTCAATGAAGTCTGTGAAGATAATGGCAAATGCCACTGAGAAAGCTTTTGGAGTTAAACATTATATTAACCCAAGCTCATGTCCTCCTCCTGGCAAGAACGGCCAGTGTGAGGGGAAACGAGGTTAGGACAGTTGGGCCTATGTTTGGGTAGAGCCGAACTGTCCCAAGCATGCACAAATTAGATTATAGAGCCTGAAAGTTCTTCCAGATGGGTAACAAGACTCAAGCCATAGCTCCCAACTTGGAACTGAACCTATGTTCTTGGCTAGATTGTAACCACTCATTAGACTCTGAAGGGTGGTCAGGAGCAGTGTGCAGGACACTCCATTATACAACTTTGAGGGAGGGATTAGAAAGAAACTTCATTCTGATGTTCTCCCAGGGTGCCCTTTGGCATCTACCCTATCACAGAAGAAGCAATCTTAAACTAAGTTATATACAAACTAGTTATTTGATTCATGTTTCCTCTCCTTCCTCATTTCCCTGATGTTTCCTTTAGGGCATCACATGATTGCCAGGAGAGGAAGGCACTCCCCCGCCCCCCAAAATTGTACAATGGTGGGAGTGGCCAGGTGAAGCTCCCTTAAATTTGGTCCTACACCATGGGGGATAAATTAGCAGGATTAGAGGCCAAGCATTCCTTTTACTCACTTTGTTCCCTCCTCTGCCTAAGCCCTATCCCTAAGAGAGCTGTATGGGTTCTCCAAATTTCAGTGATGGAACAACTAACCATGGGTTCACATTTTCATGTCTTCTCTCATCTTGTACCTAACTCTTATATTTGTCAAGAAAAGTTTTATCTTCTTATTTTTTTTAAGATTTTTATTTATTTATGTATTTGACAGAATGAGAGCAGGAGAGCACAGGCAAGGGGAACAGCAGAGGGAGGGGGAGAAGCAGGTTCCCGGCCCAGCCGGAAGCCTGGTGTGGGGTTTGATCCCAGGACCCCCAGATCATGACCCAAGCCGAAGGCAGTTGCTGAACCAACTGAGCCACCCAAGTGCCCCTATAGCTGCTTATTATTTGTATTCCGCCATTATGAATATTCTACAACTAAAAATACATAAAGATTTTTATAGAACAATTAGAAATGTGAACACTGATTCTATAATAATATTAAGGAAATATTAAATTTCTATTTAAGAGTAGGATTGTGATAATATGAGGATTTTAAAGAATGTGTAGCTTTTATATCTACATAAGAAAATATGTACAGATTGGATGATATGATGATTGGGATCTGTTTAAAAATAACATGGGAGGGACGCCTGGGTGGCTCAGTTGATTAAGCAGCTGCCTTTGGCTCAGGTCATGATCCCAGCGTCCTGGGATCGAGTCCCGCATCGGGTTCCTTGCTCTGCAGGGAGCCTGCTTCTCCCTCTGCCTCTGCCTGCCATTCTGTCTGCCTGTGCTCGCTCTCTCTCCCTCTCTCTCTGACAAATAAATAAAATCTTTAAAAAAAATAAAAAATAAAAAAAAAAATAACATGGGAGAGGTTGTAGCAGGTAGGAATATGGGTGAAACCAGATCGTCCTTGAGTTCACTAATGTTGTAGCTGGGTGATGGGTTCAATGCGCTAGGTTTGTTTTGGTTTTTCAGTGTTTTCTTTTTTTTTCTGCATATATTATAACTTTTTAATAGCAAAAATCTTCTTTTAAAAAAGAATCAAAGGATACGTGGGTGGCTCAGTGGTCAAGCAGCTGCCTTCGGCTTAGGTCATGAAACCAGGGTCCTGAGATCGAGCCCCACATTGGGCTTCTTGCTCAGCAGGAGCCTGCTTCTCCCTCTGCCTGCTGCTCCCCCTACTTGTGTTTGCTCTCCCATCCCGTGTCAAATAAATAAATAAAACATTTAATAAATAAATTAAGAATCAAAATTAAAGTTAAAAAATGTAATTGGTGAGTTACTTTAAATTCACACTAGAAAATCATATTTTCTAAAAATGCTTTAAAATATGTGCAATTCTCTCTTAACTGTAGAGGGTTATGGAAGGAGGTGGGTAGGGGATGGGCTAGATGTGTGAGGGGCATTAAGGAGGGCACTTGTTATGAAGAGCACTGGGTGTTGCATATAAGTGATGAATCACTAAATTTGATTCCTGAAACCAATATTACACTGTAGCCAACTAACTAGAATTTAAATTACAATCTGAAACATAATTAATTAAATATATGCAATGTTCATGACTGAATGTTAAATGGAATAGGAAGATCTAAATCTGTGCATAAAATACTGCATATACATGTATATTTACTTATACATGTAAATGGAAGAAGAAACTACCTAAAATGTAAATTGGAATTTCCCCTGGCTGGCAAGAATATATATCAGTACTCTTTATTCATTACTTTTTTCTTTTTCAAATTTTCTGAAAAGAAAATATGTTTATAATTTTATGAGGGCATTTTTATAAATTATACTCATGGCACAATGTTAGGAGAAAAATAGTTAGAAACTGTATATGAAATTCAATTATAAAATGTGTGTGAATGCTGTGTATGTGTGCTTATCTAAAAGAAATAGCATCATACTGTTAATGGTGATTATCTCTGGATGGTAGGTGGCATCACTGGTCATTTTTATTTTTGTGTGAATGTATTTTATTCAATTAATAAGTATAATGTTGTAATCAGAAAAAATACAGCATGAAAAGTTAAAGCTAGACTTATTTAACTTCTGTTTTTAAAACATTTATTTATTTATTTTAGAGAGAGACAATGTGCATGAGCAGGGGTAGGGGCAATGGGAGAGGGGGAGAGAGAGGGAAAGGAGCAGACACTTAACCAAATGAGCCGCCCAGGAACCCCCTGTACTTCTTTAAAAGTAAAGGACTATTGGGGCACCTGGGTGGCTGAGTGGGTTAAGCCTCTGCCTTCAGCTCAGGTCATGGTCTCAGGGTCTTGGGTTCGAGCCCTGCATCGGGGTCTCTGCTCAGCATGGAGCCTGCTTCCCCCTATCTCTCTGCCTGCTGCTCCCCCTACTTGTGCTCTCTCTCTGTGTCAAATAAATAAATAAATAAAATCTTCAAAAAAAAAAAAAGAAGTAAAGGACTATATAGGGCAATATAACATACACATATAAGAAACCATATGTTCTATATAGTTAATATATATTTTATATATATTCATACATATATTACAACTATATATGTCACTACTATAATTATATATTAAATTTATATAATAATCCCCTAATATCTGTAATTCCAAGAGAATTTTAAATTCTCACTGCAAGTATATATTGAGCTTTTAAACAATGTTGATACAGAATCCTTTGCCTGCCACCATTATGTAGCAATGCTCCTCATGTAGACAATTCCTTCATAGGCATGTCTCATTTTCTGTCCAACTCCAGGTATCTCTATGCCAATACCAGTCTTCGGGCTACAGGATGATTCCAAGGTCTTTAAGGAAGGGAGCTGCTTACTTGCGGATGACAACTTTGTCCTGATCGGCTCTTTCGTGTCATTCTTCATTCCCTTAACCATCATGGTGATCACCTACTTTCTAACTATCAAGTCACTCCAGAAAGAAGCTACTCTGTGTGTGAGTGATCTTGGCACACGGGCCAAACTATCGTCTTTCAGCTTCCTCCCTCAGAGTTCCCTGTCTTCAGAAAAGCTCTTCCAGCGATCCATCCACAGGGAGCCAGGGTCCTATGGCAGGAGGACTATGCAGTCCATCAGCAACGAGCAAAAAGCTTGCAAGGTGCTGGGCATCGTCTTCTTTCTGTTTGTGGTGATGTGGTGCCCATTCTTCATCACGAACATAATGGCCGTCATCTGCAAAGAGTCCTGCAACGAGAACATCATCGGAGCCCTCCTCAACGTGTTTGTTTGGATCGGTTACCTCTCCTCGGCGGTCAACCCACTCGTGTACACACTGTTCAACAAGACCTACAGGTCAGCCTTTTCCCGGTATATTCAATGTCAGTACAAGGAAAATAAAAAACCATTGCAGTTAATTTTAGTGAACACTATACCGGCCTTGGCCTACAAATCTAGTCAGCTCCAAATAGGACAAAAAAAGAATTCCAAGAAAGATGCCAAGAGCACAGATAATGACTACAGTATGGTTGCTCTAGGAAAACAGCATTCAGAAGATGCTCCTACAGACAATATTAACACAGTGAGTGAAAAGGTTAGCTGTGTGTGAGAGACTGGTTGCCATAGCAACCACAGACGGCACACTAGGCAAATTTTCACTTATTCTGGGGGAAAAAAAAAAAAGAAAATAGGGAGACTGGAAAAAAAATCAGGCCAGTCTAGTAGAACCAACAAAAATATTTATATGCCTCATTTTATTCTGTCAATGAAAAAAAACAAAAAAAAGCAGGGTTAAATGACACAAAATGTGCACTTCAAAAATGTTCTGACAGCATTTCAGCTGTGAGCTTTATGATACTTATTTTTAACATTGTAAATGATATGTCTTTAAAATAATTAGCTTTTATTGTATAATTATACTGAGGCCATAAATAAGTCTAAATTACCTTCTATTTCAAGTGGAAATCTTATTACTCTGTTGTTAATTCACGGCATGAGTTGGTTACCTATTGCTGTAAATAACAATAGCTATAACTAGTGAAAATTGGTTAAATATAATATAATGACCTCTTAAAGAAAAATCTTCTTTAAAACTTACTATGTTACATATTTTGAACAACAAAAAAAGACACTAAGGACAGTGTTACAATATTGCTAAGATAATTAAATGAAATACTTGACGACTTTTTCAGATGTCATTTGGAAATATTCACAAAGTTGCTGGCATTTGCTGCATTTCAAGCTAATTCTTCTCAGAAGTGAAAAAGTTTTAAAATGTTATTTAATAACTACCGCTGCTTTCTCTTCTACTATTTGTGCTTTATTCTGAATCTCCAATGTGGTCTTTTGTAGTGTCTGTTCTACTAGGTAAACTATCAAAAGGATAATTTAACATTACCAAATACGTTTCTAGAAACTGCTTCTCCTGAACAGCACCATAGCAGTGTTTGGTAACTCGCTCTTTGACGACCACACCGTGCATGCGCTCTTCTGAGCAGTAAGCAGTATTGATGTAACTGTGTCAAGATTGAGGAATAAACTCAGGTTTTTGGCTACTGACAGCATCAGAACCTTAGGACGTCTCTGTAAAATGCAGGTGGCTTTCCTCTTGGCACCCATCAGGTAAATTGAAGTTTTCAGATCAATCAATCTATATTCTTTACTAAAACTGTTCAGCTTTGGTCTCATAATCATCTACTGGGTCTATACTGTCTGTGAAGAAATGCCCCAGGTACTGAGGATATAAGAAGAATTAAAACAGTTTTCCTGCCTTTGAAGAAAATGACCTAACTGGACTAGTCCTTGTCAGAAATATTGATTAACAGACATTTTGAGAATTGGTTCAAACTGTTTTCTTCTTACTTCGTTCAGAAGGCTTGTTTCGACTCTGAGGGTAGTTTTCTCAATAAGTTTCCCGATTGGTTGCCAATAAATACCCACCAAGTGAGCGAGGAGGGGGATACAATAGGAGGTCAAAATTTGCAGTTAGTTTAGAAATACACCACAACCTGGACCCAACCTGTCACTACCAAAGTTTCAAGGAAAATTTCTGTTTTACTTCCCTAAAAATCTGATTTCTTACTCACTGACACTGGACTCCCTAAAAAAGAGCAGTAATACAGTGTTTTGTAGAAAAGTTTGCTAAAGAGAGAAAAAGTTTAATAGTAGTTAATTCACCTTGATATTCCTCTAGATTAAATTAGACATTCTTACTAAAATAGATGTTAGATGATATGAGATTACAACACTGAAGCATTTCTATTAAATGAAAAATGGTTTTTTGCTCTAAGCCATTTGAAAAATATTGTAGATTTGAAAACTGAAGAATGTGGGAGATGCCACTGTGTAATTTGGAAATGCTTTAAGGCTATCCAATTTAATTCTTATAGGTATGCTGAAAGGTATGTATTTCAAAGCTAGAATTTACAGCAAACCACTTATACCAAGGCTGCATTTGACCTGAACCACTTTAATGATAATACCATACTAACTGGGAAAAATACAAATGTTAAAAAATCTCAGCTCTAAAGTATTTTGCCATAGTTTATAACTCTGCACATTGCATTAAATACTAGAGAAAAGATTACAGATTCTACCCCCATTTACTCAATCTTGATCAGAATGAACATAAATACTGCCTGACCAATGTCTTTTGACTACATATATATTACAAATGTGTATTTTTTTTCTTTCCATAAGTATCTACTCAAGTGTATATAGACAAACATGTATCTGTGTATATGTACAGACATGTTCTCATGCACTTTATTCGATATTTATATTATATTTATATGGAGAAAAAGCAAGAGTCATTAATGAAAACACTCAGTATATACACATGTTTGCATGTTTGTATCCTGTCAATTAAAATGTGAATTCATGTTCTAACGTTTCTACGACCTTCCATTGCTGTCAAAGCAGATTAAAATGTAACAGAAGTATCAGCTCTTTAAATAAACTGGAAGTTCACCTAATTTTGTGGGAAGACTTTAACACAATTCTATGAGGGTGGTGAAAACAGTGGTCTTTTTAATAGCTGAGTAATCTTAAATAAAATGGTGGACCCTTTCAGACCCTTTTTCCATCTGGGGACTTTCTGACTACTAAGGCTTTCAAAACACCCCCGCCCTACCCCAATGAGACACAGTGCTTGAATGATATATGGATCTGTGATTAAAGGACTCACTCCTAATCAATGCTTTAAGTTGAACAGTAGATTGTTCTCTATTTAAAGAAAGGAATTAAATGCCATATAGTTAGGGGAAACACTCAGTTTAGACATACTTAATCTACTTGGCCACAGTGCCATCTCATGGTCATTTTTTAAAGTGCTACTGTAGCCAAATTGAACTAAGTTACTGTACTGCTTTTGGCAAAGGGTGCTTCTCCCATTTGTGCATCAATGAAACATATTTATAAAGTGTTAAATTATTCTGTGCCATATATAATAAATACAGTGAAGGTTATTTTGTGTAATGATTTTAACCAAGGTGATTCTAAAAGATTTCAAGAAAGAATAATTATAAATAAAGTATACTCAAAAATCAATGTAATTTTATGAGTACGTAGTTTTGTCTGCTAAAGGGAGTTACCTAAACCTTTCAGCCATCAAACTAAGAACTTGTGTATCATCCAGATACTTTGAGAGCCCAGAGCCTGTACTCTGAGGTTCAGTGACTGAACCAGGATCAAGCTGGTTGAATTAGATTTAAGATTGTGTGATCCAGTTTGCAATTACCTGCAGCAGAGAGATGCTCTAAGTTCGGTCACTCCATCTGGTTCAACACAGCCCAGAAACACAGAGAACCACTGCTGTACCCCCAACGCATGCACACCACTACTGATGGGTACGTGTGTACACGTGTACCCCAAGACGTGCAAGGGACCTTCACACACACATGACACACATTTTCACAGGAGATAATTTCAGGAATTGAAGTAAACCAAGAAAACATGGTATCCTTGAATAAACTGGAAATTGCCCTGATTCATCATTTCACCTCTAAATGTAGGAAAAGTTTATGAAATCCGGGCAGTAGGTATCTTTTCCAAGAGTTTATAGCTCTATGTATTGAGTACCTACCCTGTGCTGGGAATTAAGCTGGCTGCTTTGCTTGATTGACCTAAAGGAATCTTCACAACAATCCTATGGGGTAGGTATTACTATTTCTTATTTTTTAGAGATAAAGAAACTGAGATTCAGAACAGTTAGTAACATGTCCAAGGTCACGCTGCTGGCAAAAAAAAAAAGAGTGACAAGTTCAAGCCTGGGTCATCTGACTCTGAAGCATAAAATTCTTGTCCCTGCCCAATATGGCATGGGAGGAAAAAACAGCAAATTCAGAACCAAAAGATGCAAGTTCCCATCTTAGCTTGCCTACACACTGTTTTATAACCTCGGACAAATCACTTAAGAACCCTGGGCCTCAATTTCACTGTCTCCAAAAAGGGAGCCACAAGTAGCTGACCTAGCTAATGGAAAGCGTCACTTAAATGAGGTAATGGCTAAGGCTGTGCTTGATAACCTATAAAGTACCATGTAAATGTAATAAGTGTGTTGTTATTGAAAAGAAAAATACCCAAAGCCAGTTTATATTATTAGCCATCAGAGCAAATTCCACACAAAATTGTGGGCTAGTCAATATTATTATTCAACAGCTTCTACTATCCTTTCCGTGAACATTCTCATTTTTTAAAACATACTGTTTTGTCCATACCATGATGCAGAGTTCCCTTCACTGGTATTTTTTCCTGCTTACATCGAAACTTACCCATTCTATGACCCATCCTATCAGGTTCCTCTTCTCTACTAGAGCCCCAATAAGTAATTCAAGCTGACAAACCACTGTCTATCACTGAGGTCCCTTCAGCTGTCCACCATGATCATAATCCATGATTAAAAACTTTAGCCCCAGGAAGACAAGTGAGAAAGAAATTTAGGGACAAGAAATATTCTCCTGGCATCACTCAAATGACCCACAGGAAAACAAGTATTTTCAGAAACTTCGTAATGTGTATGCAGTTTTATAACCTAACATTAAATTTTAACTCACAATCATAATGATGATTTTGAAGAAAACATGTGATTTTTAAGATTTAATTCTAAAATGAGAACACTAATAATACTACTGAGCTTATCCTAAGTTTTATAGTCAATGGACATTTGTCCCAGTAAATATGCAATAGGACAAAACTCTATTTATATTTATTATTTGTGCAGCTGGTTTGTTTGCAAAAAAAAAAAATGGTTTCCTTATTTTCCCTTAATGATATATACCCCAGTGTTCTCCCTTTTTGATATTTAATGACAACTGTCCTTTGATATTTAATTAAATTGTCCACCGGAGCCAACACATTAGGGGAACTTTTCACACCCAGCTGGAGCCTCAGGCATGAGAGACTGAGGAAGGACACCTAGGTCCAATCTGCTGCTATTGTCTGACCCTGGACAAGTCAAAGACTTTCTTTATTTTTTTTTTTCAAGTCTATAATAAGGGACTATAATCAGCGATCTTTTCAGAAGGTCTCTTCTGAGTCTGTTTATCCCGATATTAGGAGTCCAGTCCAGGCTCTGATGAACCAAGACACAGCTTCATGAACCAAGAATATTTTGGAACAATTCTCATATTCTCTGAAATTCTTCAGATGCATTGCAAATAAATGACAACTATAACTTTTATATGGGAATCTTTTAGA